ATGTTATAGGAAACATTCTTGAGGCTCGTGACAGGGGGGAGGGGACGATTCTGGCTTTGCTCGATTTTTCTCGGGCTTTCGATGCTATAAACACCGCATTACTGCTTTCCAAAATGGCATATTATGGATTTGCAGCGGAAACAGTAAGGTGGTTTGGTAGCTACTTGGAAAAAAGGTCTCAATATGTTGAAATTCGTAACCAGGATGGATCCATCTTGTCCTCCTCCCCACTTCCTGTCTCGCGCGGAGTACCTCAGGGATCAATTTTGGGGCCACTTCTCTACATTCTTTACAGTGCGGATATCGTAACGTCTTTTAAACACTGCAAGTATCACATGTATGCAGACGACATACAAATTTACATATCTTGTAGGCCTGCGGAAGTGCTACAGGCTACACAAAAAATGAATCACGATCTGCAGAAGGTTGCCACTTGGGCAGAGCATAACTCCCTGGTACTAAACCCAGCTAAGTCTAAATACATGGTTCTGGGTAGTAAGAGGGCAGTGAGTGCCATGCTGTCAGCTGGGCCAGTTATAACAATTAAGGGAGATAACATTGAAAGGGTGAACACAGCTACCAACTTAGGTCTCACTATGGATCCAGAGCTACACTTTGAGAAGCACATTGTAAATTGCATGAGGAACTGTTTTTACAGACTTAAAATGCTCTACACATTTAGAAAACACTTGAGTGTAGCTCTGCGCAAACAGCTTGTGGATAGCCTGGTACTGTCAAAGTTAAATTACTGCGACACAGTCTATGGCCCGTGCTTGCTAGCAAGAACAAACACATTAATCCAGCGTATACAAAATGCTTGCATAAGGTACTGTGTCGACATACCAAGGAGAAGCCATGTCACCCCGTTTGCAAATCAAAACAATATATTAAAAATGGAGGCTAGAAGACGACTACACATGGCAGGTCTGTTGTTTGGAGTCATAACTACTCAAAAACCACGGTACCTGTATGAGAAGTTAAATTGGAGGCAACATTCATGTAAAAACCACATACGCTCTGCAACAAATCCACTATCTATTCCTCAACACAGAACTGCGGCCTTCAGGGGGAGTTTCAGGTATGCTGCGACTCACTGTTGGAATAACCTGCCACCACCAATGCGAGGCCTGAAAACAAAGAGTAACTTTTTACTACAAATGAAAAAGTATTTACAAAACCTACAGAACTCAACCTAACTCTCTTCAATATTTATTAATCTATTTATCTACGCAAATTACAAAAATAAGTATATATTCCTAACCTAAAAAATTATATATTACTAACCTTCAAGGTCGCGGCCTTCCTGCAAGGGATACATCCAACAGATATTGTCCGCGATTACATCCTTTCCCCCTGTTAGTATAGCACACGTGTTTCTGCAAATAACCCTTGGCTGCATGCTGGAAACAAGTCACACATTTACTACACACACCTACACAGTACAATCATACACGACATACGCTTTTGTTACACGATTGTATGTTTATTTGAATGGCCTGTACTCACGCTGTTTTTCGCTTCAAAATGTTCATAAATATGGTGGGACGCCATCACGTCACCCAAGGATATGCTGAAAATCAGCGCTGTGGCACCAATCCCTTGTGGTTGGGGTCTCAGCAAATGCTGAGCATGTCCATTTTTTGCGCTCGTACCACATTATATTGTTATAACAGTAGTAAGGAGGAAATTATCAATATAATTAAATTATTAAATGTTCTTTGTTATTGTTTGTTAAACACAAATGTTACTATCTTGTCCTTATGGTCCACAGATAATAAAATACCACGCGACCTCGCGCATAACTGTGGACCATAGACAAAACTTTTTGTTTTTTCTTTTGTTATTAGTTTGTTTCTAAAAACCATTTTATTTTTATGTGTCATTTAGTTTAGATTTTTTGTATTATTTTATTTTCTTCTTTTTTTGTATTTTAGTTTTATGTGTGTGCGCTTGCGCAAGAATAAATGTTTTTTTCTTTCTTTCTTTCTTTCTAGGTAAAGGTGCAATTTTAATTGATAACGTCTAAGTCTGCGCTTTTACCGTGCGCACTTTTTTTGAGAGGGAAAATTTTATCCAGTGACTTCTCTTGTGGTGAGAGATGAGGAGTGTCTCTTATTGACTAAAAACTTCCCCGTTACATCTCCTGCTCCTGGCCAAGGCCGGGGAACGTTATTGCGCTTGAGCCGCAAGTTTATTGGGCGGCTGTCGTGCAACGTGTCACGGGTTAGATTCCTGCTCGAAACAACCCTTCGTGTGACGCACCAATTGCTATTCCGTTTTTGAGTGTCATCTGTGATGTGTATATAAAATTGTATGTTTGAAAACACTCCCAGAACACAAACGAAAATATTAGTGTGGGGTAACGTTTAAAAAAATATTAACACTTAACTTAAAGATGTTTTGTTATCATGACAGCTTAAGTTAAATTCATAGCTATCATTCTTTCCAAATAGATGGTTATCTTAACGAAACTTAAATCCTTTCGTAATGGCTTTAATCTAAGTTTTAAATAATTGTGAGTTACAAGCGCTTGCTATTACAAAAACACATTTTTGTCCAGCTCATGTGAAGCGTTCTTTAAATTTATTTGAATTAAATGTCCACTATTTATTCAAGTTCCCTTTATATTACAACAATAATTCAAAAGTAATTAGGTTCCTAACAAATTGCACTCAAAAAAAGACGTCCTTTTTATGGTATTAGTCGGCAAACTAGCTGTCGGATTGATGGTCTGCAATCGGCGCCGCCGTGGCTAAATGGAGTGCGTGCAACGCACTCCATTGCGCCACATTGGCCATTTAAGAGATAAAGGTTTCGGATTTTTAAGGATTGGTAAGGAAAGGGGGAGGGTGAGGGATTGGGCCTCAAATAACCTCACTCACTTATCAAATACCTACAAAAAATCGGATCACGGACAGATGGATCAATCACCTCATCGCAAATGATGAGTTCCCAATATCAATGAACAGTCCTATCTACTATGGCCAACCCGGGAATCGTAACCGGTTCTTTTAGTGGTAATACCACTATCAGACCTTGTTCAGACCAACAAGGTAGTATATTACATAAATGGTTTACTGGTTGCGGGGTAAGCGCAATAAGGCGCTGTGGCCTCGGCCTCTAGAGCATCGGTAGGCACGAGAGGAATTTTAGTCTGTAAGAGTGTGAGACTGACGGTCTAGGCGAGAGAAGTAATTTGATGATTTTCCCCTAACAAAAAAATATGCGTATTACGTGACTACTCATAACAAGTATTGTCGAAAAAAATCCCTTTAGAAATATGTAGATAAAAGGTCTTAATTGTATGTAAGCAGAAAAACACTAACAGAATTACAAATTATGTCTTATCACTTTCCTACCCGTCATCAACACCCCCTCCTATATTCTCCCTGCTATAAGGGAATCGTTGAAAAAAAAACTTTTCATCTTTATAACAAAGAACAACTTAAGTTATTAAAATTAACACTCATCCCTAGGCTTATGCGATCAGATATTTCCTCGAAAGAATCCTTCGATCCAATTCAAATAGATTCTATCTTATCGCATTACTACTGGTAGTGAGTCGGTAATTTGATTTGACATCGAATTGAGAGCCCTCTGGTGTAAATCATATTTTCTGAGGGCTTTATCTTTTAGCTAGAGGATAATGGTACTCAAAGAAAATTAGGTAACGGAGACGAATTACAATAGAAGACGTGCTCCTAGAAATGGTTCGTACCAATATCCATTCTCTGTGGTTCTGTCAGATCTATTTTAGTAACCTTTTCATTATATTGACGTATTTTTTGCTAGTGTATTTTCATTAATACGGAATGGAAAAACATCGGTCTGTTTTCCCTAGAAATGGTTGTGTGAATGTGCAACCCCGTTTTACAAACAAGCATAATATTATGTTCATTTTTCATTTTAATATAAGATATTATGTTGGATCATAACTTTTCTAATAAATTGTATGTTATCTTTGATTTGTTTTTGTTGCTTTTGCGTTCTTTATTACGAAATATATCAGAACTTACATATATATGAAACAAATCATCATAAGTCTTAATGTTCTATTTTCGAATAAAACAGGCCTTGTACAGTACCTTACAAAACATATGAGAATAAAAAGAAATACATAAAAAATATATCTAGATATTTTTAGCCAAAAAAATGTTTATTCGAACCTAATGAGCAAAAATATACTTACAAAGGAAGTCCTTTATACACATTTCGTTTCCTAAAAAAACGTGTTCATTCAAGTAATAATAAGGCCTCTCCGAAGAGAAAAGGCCAGATATTATCTAATTACATACGTCTACGAACCTTCCAATTTCGTCAACTCGAAAGTTATTTTCAGCTACTCAAGTTTAGAATTGGATTAAATTGTAAGCGCCTAAACAATTATTAGATTAACGGCATATAAAATGCATATTCAGTAGTCCCTGTAAGTAGTACTCCGTGTTGTCGAATACAGACGTGCCCAATCTGTGGATCCGATCACTGTTTCGCCGATTCAAGAGCGAGAGCACAATAGTTTGATCTTATATACAACGAATAACATTAATGCTATCGTTTCTTGCGTCTTCGACTGTCCCATAACACATGTTACACTGCCGTAAATGAAACCACAGCCTCGTAAAATAAGCAACATTTGAATAATGATAAACATTTATTTTTTCCTTTTTCTCATTCTTCGTATCGGAATGGCCTCTGAAATTTATAGCTCTTATTTCTTGCAAAGTATTACGACTTGATTTATGTGTGTTTTTCTCGACAATATTTGATAATATTGTTGTTGGACACTTTGGATATTCACAATGTAGTCGGGTATCGTGATTTATGATTTATGTTCTGTGTTGTAATTCAAATATTAAGGTGTTCATGAAATATCTGAAAACGTCTCATAGATGGTTAACTCACCAGTCATACCTACTTTTAGCATAGGAAGACTCCTCGCATTCAGATGAAATATTTTACTCTTACTTAAAAGCTACTAGGTCACCAATCGGTTAACTCACCTTCGCAATTGTTTTTTGCTGAGTATTACCGCCATCAGTGCTAAATTAGCAGACATTCCTAGACTGGAGAGTGCTAGTAGAGCGGCAGCGCTCGCAGCGCCACCTGGCGGGCAGTGCCGCGTATTATTGACCACAGAAGAATTAGTAGCCCCTGCTGAACCGAAGCGAAGGTTCGCTCCGATCATGGCCACGGCGGACCCTGCTTGAGGAATGACCCCTATGAGAAAATTACGAAAACAATTCAACAAGAACATAGAAATAGGCGTATAGTTACCTATTGTTATTTTGCTATTAGTTTCTTGATCTGAAAGACGAAATTAAAAACATCAAGTCAACATTGCAAATAACAGTAAAAAGTAAACAAGACAAGTATAATCGTTGTCATTTAATTTATTCCGAAATCAATGACAGCGATAATTTGAAAAAATAAAATAATTTATTTTAAAATTTGTTTCGTTTAATAATAATGAGACATAAGAAGCCAATTTACTATTCCAATCATTCCACAACATTTAAGACAACATTTACGTATCACAACATCCATAGAATTACCTGCTGACATTTTGGCGTTTGGACGTCCGCTCTTAATGAAACTTTACTATCGAATGTAATGAATCACTGTGACAGCCAATCAGAACGCCCCCCGCCCCCCCACCGGCCCATTGCATTTTTGCACCAATAACGTTGCTACTCACTAACATTACAATCAGACTTAAGTCCTTTGTTTGTTACACTGTAATGTTTATCTCACGGATTGATCACTGATTTGTCCCAACTGATTGCAAGTTTTCGTTGATTCTACTTTTGTGCACTATGGTACAGTCCAGCTAATTTCTTTGTAGATCTGTGGAAAGAAAATCAGTTATAAATTACTCAAAACAAACAAACAATAGAAAAGCTTATACCGAAATATTAAGCTACAAAACTAAGTATTATAAGTTACTGCTAGCAATAAATTTTGCAGAACAAAACATCTGAATTGCGCAAAGATTAATGATGCAGATTATAATAAAGTCTAATTTAACAGTACAAACTCGTCCCAAGCTATAAGGCTTAGTATATACTGCATATCAAGCAAACTGAATGTTGATGCTGATGCAATCAATACTGGCTATGGAAAGTGGTACAACGCGTGTCAGAATTTAAGCCGACGACATGTCAAACGCTGCACTAATGAATAGTTCACAAGGAAATTACGTACAGTACAGCAAACAAAACCAGAAATATCAGTCAGGATAGCATTTAATCAGAACAATGGAAGCGATTCTGTACCGTATTGCTGGAGTGATAGCTGCTATTTTCGAAATACTAGTGAGTAAGCCTTCTGCTACGTATCTGTGATGTAAGACTCATCGAGTGTCTATTATAATTGAGTTGCAGTCACTACTCAATCCCTTTACGTAGTACGTCCAGTCAACCTCTGCTCCCGTAGTAACTCAGTTGAACAATATGGTCGTAAATTGCGTCATAGTTTTGTAGAACAATTAAGACTGATAACAGTCATTTAAAGTGAATGTTTGTATGCCGAAAAGGCCAAACATGACGGACCTATTGACCACCCTGCATGCTACGTATATAAACCCATGTTTTCGATAAATAATAAAACTGCTTGTATCTTGTCCATATTCTAAATTCGATCCGCTTTGAACAAGCGTGGTGATTAATACTCAAACCTCCGTGGCCTTTTCTCAGCAAAACAACTTAGAATGGCTAGTGATGATAAAATGGAAATTTATATTTGGAACACCGAGGCTAAAACTAAACCACTATATACTCTTTACATAAGTTATAAAACAAAACCCTATCTCTGTCCCAATGTTTTCTTAAATCTTTGAAACTACTCAACGAATTTTAATGTGGTTGTTTATGATAAATAGAGTGATTGAAGAGAAAGATTTGCATTTATGATAACTCATATTTAATAGTAGAGAAATTGCGAACCCGTGCCAAACCGGGGCAGGTAGCTAGTTATATAATAAAACGTAATAAAGACTTCGTTTGTTGTTTTTTTTTAAACCAGATTGTCTCTTGTTATTTTTTCTCGGGAACGGCTAGCTAGATAAGACAATAGTTTTACGTTTCAGTTGCAGGCCATGCTTGAGTCACAAAGAACAATATAAAATTGTGGAACGTTTTTAGAGAAAACGTAGAAGTATACGGAACCGTATTGGTGAGCTCATATTTTTTAAGCACTTAAATGTTTTAATTATTTTTATTTTTGCATTCCCGTTTACCTAAACATTTTTTTTATTTTCTGTACCGCTAAAAAAGGCCTATACTGCGTAGACGAATAAAATAACTTTTCTACAAATCACAATCGAATTCAAAATACAAAAGAAATTGGAAAATTGGAAAGACAACTTGCACGTTATAAAAACGATATAAAGTAATAAATATCTTTAGGTATCCAATGATAAAAGGTCAATAGAAACTTTATAAAAGGCTCCTACTTTCATAAATTACATTTTTAATTTAAGCTTTTGCACAAACATTTGTGTACAAGGTGGACTTAATGTCACAGGCATTCTCTGTCATTCCAGTCGATCCTTTGGATTATTTATTATTTATTTATTATGGCTTAAAAGGTACATTTTACATTATAAAAAGTATAAAATGTCCAACAAAACTGTATACACAGTTTGTCTGTTGGATCAGATTTCAAAAACTAACTTAATAGAACCTATAGTAAGTCAATAGGACTTACTATAGGTTCTATTAAGTTAAGGATGATGTAGAGGGGAGTTAACGGTAGGTGCAAGAAGCAAGGAAATTCGAATTTTTACCGATAATGTATATGGAATTAAATTTGTTGAGGTTTCTAAGCCAAGTTACATTGCTTCTGTCACTGACCGATAAGTAGACTGCATGTTTTATTGTGTCTTCTTTGTCATGTACAATAGACACTTCATTATTATATTGAGTAAAACAGACTTTGAAACATACCATCAGCCAGATAATCGTCTCTCGCTCAAAGCTGATTAGCGATTTCAAACTTACATTAACAAATTACAAGTCCAAGTTTCATCACAGTTTTTTCCTCCACCGTATATGGTTTCTAAATAATCTTAGAAAGTACGTATTTAAAAGTCACATCGTACTTGCTAGGTTTAAGATCCCTCATGCATGAGTAACCATTTACATGAGTCAAGGCACCTCTTAACCATAGTCCTACAACTAATGACTAACTTTTAATAATTGTTAAAAGTAATTGTAACACATTTATCTGTTAACCTACAATTAATCCTGTCAAATAAATTACAGCAAAAACGACACTATCGTACATATTTATAGAACTCAACATAGATAAATAGGGTTTGCATAAATTAGCCTGAATTAGCATACAGATACAAACAGTAAAATGTTAGGTAACAATAGAAGGGCTTCGTGTTGATTTTGGACTGAAATTCTGGAGAGACAATCTAATTCTGAATCTCCGTTTTAGCGGAGTGTTTAAATTTAAGTATAATGGTACTTAATACAGTACAATAAAGGTCTTTTCAGGTTAACATTGCTCGCAGATTGGTTAGTTCAATTCAGTACAGTTGCCTACAATACTTTTTGTCAAACGAATTTTCTTAGGACGAAAGAAATTTGAATATCTTTGAGTATTCCAAATAATAATTACTGCAAAGAAAACTTGAGAAGAGTCTAACAAAGGTGTCTGTAAATTGTTTGTTTTATATTCTTGTTTTCGATCCTTCCCTTTAAAACATAAAGCGAGGATTATTATTTTTTCTTCATATTACTGATCACATAAAGTGAGTAAATGTTCAGCTTGACCGGAGTGATATTCCGGCCTTACAGAAAACCCAGCGTGAAACAACCACATCGTTGTGTTGCGCCATGTGTTTGAAGTTACTGGTAACTTTATCCTTCCCCTCGTCTATCGTATTTAACGCGTTACTCCTGGGGTATTGCGGGAGTGCATGGTGGCGCCGAATTCTTACTCTATAAGGTATCATTTTATCAGTTATCGTATTCCTCATTTGCCATATTATCACATAAAAAAGAATTTACTTTGTTAGAGTTTTCATAAATAATAATATGTTCTGCTGATATTATCAAACGTATTGTACAACAACCTTATATAATTTGTGTTCCATTTCTATTTTTTTTCTAACGAATAGTTTATAAAAAATCTATTTTATACGTGTTTGCAAGTTATCTTGAAAAGCGTTCTTCTAGTCGCCACTTTCCCCGACTTTACGACGCTCTTAGCGCTATACATTACTGTTACGACTAGGCTTTGAACAACGACTATTTTATGAATAGCCGCAAAATAAAGTCGTAAACAACGCTATGTTGTTAACTTCTAGCAGAGGTCAGATCATGATTAACATTTCACTTCATAATATAAAATTAATATGTATTTTCCATATTAATTTGGTTTATAAATTACCCTGCAATTATTTTTAAAGTTTGAAACGAAAAAGGTTTTGTGAAAAAATTACAATAACAAAAATATAATTGTATTATATACGATTTTCTTATCGTTTACTTATTCTAATGAAAAGGAATCGAATGTGTTAATACAGAAAGATGAAAATCATTTGGCTGTCTTGTTGAACAATGCTCGAACGAGTCAATCAATGCAAAGCTAATGATTTCGAAACCCCCGGCAATGTCAATTCTATTTGGATTTATTTTCTATTTTCCTAAAATTTTAGTCAAAAAATTTGTTAGTCAATCGCAGTGTACGGTGTTCGACAGACTCGTGACAGGGGGAGAAGACAATTATTGGTACATCTAACAATAAGGCGTGGCAGTTTTTAGTCTGTAAGAGTCTGACGGACCCTCTCGCCTCACGCAGGACAGGAGAAGTCATTTAAAGATATTTTGTTCCGACGTTCTGTTTATAAACTTACAACTATAGCAACTGTATTACTAAGACAGTGCAATGTAATACGAACAAACTTATATGTACGTACATAATATATACTACATACATGGTAATTTGTGTATCGAAATTGTTGTAGAAATCGATCAAGAACGTTGCCTTTGTATGTGTCTCATGCACGCATATTTGATCGCGTTGGATTTGGAGGATTCACGTCGCTTTCAGTTTAAGGAAAATGATGAAATGCGAACGCGAGGGTACATATAGCATCATGGCTTTTATTTCCCAAAGGAGTTAATAGTGATAAAATTCTTACATGGGATACGGCGGCAAATGAGCCTTTGGGTCACCTTTTTAATAGATGCAATTGTGTTTTTTTATGTAATAGGTCGGCAAACGAGCAAATCTTTCCGTCCGAATACAATTTAGGTGTCTTCAAGGCTAGAGTGACTAGGCTCTTAACAAACTAAACAAACTAGTGCGCCTTACCATCAACGATTGCATCACTGCTTAACATCAGGTGGGATCGCAGTCAAGCACTAGTTTATTGCAAGTAAAAAAAAACGGATTACCTGATGGTAAGCAATCAGCGCCGCCCATGGACACCCGCAACGCAGGAGTTACGAGTGCGTTGCCGACCTTTAAGGGATTAGGGATTTGGAGATTCAGGAACTGGGGAGGGATTAGGGAAGGGGAAGGATTGGGCCTCCGGTAACCTCATTCAC